GCTGCAAGGGTTTGTGTACAAGGGGAGGGTCCCTTCTCTTGGGCTTAAGGAGGAATTTTTCTGGCTAGGGCTCTGCTGCTTGTATGAGAAAGCGGTCTGCATGGAAATGCTTTTGGAGAACCTTGTGGCTATTTTTTCCGGGCAGGTTGTCCAGTTTCAGGCAGGCTTGAAGTGTTGGGCTAGTGTGGGCTGTGTTGGGGTGATGGTATGCAAGTGCTCAGGTTGCAGGGAGAGGAATGTTTGGTTTTGTGCACTGGAGAAGTCTAATTTTCTTTGACTGCCCAGGGAAGGCTCAGCTAGTAAGCCCAGCTAGCTGCTCCGAATGTGCCTTGGACTGTCCCGTGAGAGAGTATGTTTTTTCCATGCAATGAAATGCAGTTGTTTAGCTAACAGTGTTTGTTTGGAGCTAAGAAAATGCTTGATTCCCACTGGAAGGGAAAAGTGTAGTTTAGCTGGGGTGAGTAGTCGTGCCCTGAAGGTGAAATGAAAGCAGGTCACCAAGGATTAAGTGCCCTCCTTACCCCTGTGTGGGAGGCTTTCATGCTAATGGTCGGGGCCTTTAGCAGCTCAGCGCCCTTCAGCGGGTCACTGGCTTGATGGCAACGCAGGGAAGGACTGAGCAGCTGAACGGCCAACGCAGCGTAACCGTGCGGTCCAGAGAGGCCTCCCCTGCAAACAAGGACACAGCTCAGCCCGCAGGGCTACAGGAGACCGCGGACTTTCTTATCTGTATTTTCTAACACTCTAGAGCTTCCTCTGCGAGGGAAGCGTGAGACTGCTCTGCTGTAGACTTGGCTTTTCCTGCCTGCAGCCAGCAAGAGCGCCGGCCCAGGGGCCCTGCCCGCTCTGCCTCGAGGATGGAGCTGGCTCTATGGAGCTTCATTACAGAAGTCTCAATCAGCCTTTAGAGATTCATTTAAATGGGTTTTCGTGAGCATTAATAGGCTATGGGAGTGTATTCATAGCCAGCTTTCCTCAGGTTTTGCAGAAAGTGGCATAAGTGAGTTTCTTCAAGTACATGTGATTGCTCATAGTCGCTGAAGTTGATTTGAATCACTTGCTAACGGGCTCGCCAATTTAGCCTGATAAATTGTGCATTATTAACTGGGGGAAGGGAACAAAGCTGTGTCCTCCCGGAGAGGAAAATGCAGGATTTCTCATCAGTGAGCAGCAATTCCTCTCATCAGCACAATCGGAGAGAGGCCATAATGAGCCATTTGCACCTGAGAGCAAAGGTCTGCAGCCTTTTACGTCTGCGAACAGACCTCCCGCTCCGAGACGCGGGTTTTCCAGCCCCAGCTGTGAGGGCTGGTGCCCGGAGGCAGCCGCGGGAAGGCTGACCCTGAGCAGCATCGCGCAGCCGGCGCTGATCTCGTCTCCATGCTCCCTGTCCGTCCTCATTAAGCAACAAGCAAAAGCAAGATGTCAATCCTGCCCTGGTTAAAGCAGCTGGGAAAAAAAGCCTTTCTCTGCAGGAGCACTTACGGACTGCAAAATGGGCAGGGAAGAGGGGTTCGACCCCTTGCCTGGAGCATTGCACTTGCTAAAGTAACACACATTTTGGAAGGCTTTGCTCTTCGAGGCGCTGAATAGAAAGCATCTGCCGCGCAGGAAATCACCGTCTGGCTCTCTCGAGGGAGCTCGTCTCACTGGCTCTCACCCCCACAACCTGCTTGCTGCTTCCAGTCAACGAATGCACTAATGATAACGTGGAGGTCATGGAGCCGGTGCTCGGCGAGGCGCTCGCCCCTGTTGCCAGAGCAGTGTGACCATGGCTGTGTCCTGGCGTTCTGGCATGCGTTTTAGCCAGTTTAAATCCAGACACCCCAACCTCTGAACCCAGGTGAAACAGGGTGCGCAGATAACCTGCTCTGTGCTTGCACCACCATGAGGGATAGGCAGTGGTTTTAATGCCCTGTGCAAGCTCGGGGCTGGCTCCAAGACTGGCACCAGCCTCAGCGTCGCCGCGCGGGCCTCGCGCTGCCACGTAAGCGCCGCGGTTATTAATGCGTCGCTGCGCGGCCGGTGGGGGACGAGGGCGCCGCGCTGCCACGTGCCCTGACGGATGGCCCCCTGTTAACGAGCTCCGAAGGGAGCCCGGCGCAGCCTCCCGGCTGGAGACACTCGCTGCTGGGAAGGGAGTTAAAAGGGGGCAAAAAAGAACTGGAGAGGGAAGGGAGACACTCCAGATAGCGCCTCTGGGGATGCAAAGGTTGTGCTTGATTAAAAGCAGTTCTTTATGAAAATGTTATTCGCTATGCTTGGAAGACGACATTCAATGCATAAAGAGCACACAGGCAAACCTAATATGCTCCCTGCGGAAAGGGCTGGTACACGTGCCCGAGAACACAGCCGATTCCCTTATCTTTGATCCCTTGCCTTCAATAGCAGGGTTTTTCCTCCTGCATAGAGAGCTTCCACCTTCTTCCAAGGTAACGTCAAAAGGGCTTTCGGCTTGGGGGATTCACAGGGGAGAGCAGAGAAGTGAGATGGGCTGTCCTGGGCGCACGTGTGCGATAGCGAGAGCCTGAAGCCCTGCACCGAGCTCCTGGGACGGACCTGTTTCGGGAGCCGTTGGCGTGGCTGCCCCGCGGGCCTGCAAGGGGCCTTTCCGGAGGCCAGGCACGGATCTGCTTCCAAGGAGTTCGCACTAGACTTTGTCTGGACGTGTTCGGTTTCTAATGCTTCCCCAGAGCACTTGTAAATTTTTATTTCTGCCAAGGGCAGGAGAACCTAGCTGCTGTGCACAGAATCAAGTTGATTGTCTACAAAGTTTAATGCTGTTTTCTTGCTCTATTATTTGGCCGTTCTGTGTTTGTGCAAAACTCTGTTTTAAAGCTCACTCAGAGCTCCTGGGCTGTGCGAGGAAGAGAAGGGGGGGAAAACTATTTCTCTGTAGTGCCAAAATATACAAAAGTTTTATGTACCATGATGGAAAGTTAAGGTGAAAAGGGCTGGATCTGAGACAAGAAACATTTCTTTAATTTTCTCTCTTTTTTTTTTCTTTTTTTTTTTTTTTTTTTTAACAGGATTTGCTGTTGCTTTGAAAGCCTCCTGCTATTTTACAGGCAATAAAAAAGAGAGACTAAAAACACTTATTTCCTGAAAGCCGCTCGTTTCCCGAGTGCCGCGGAGCTGAGCGAGGCTAGTGGGGCGAAGAGCCGCCGAGCCCAGCGGCCCCTCCGTGCCGCTGGGGAGGCCAAGGCTCGGCAGCCTCCCCGGTGGTGCCGGGCTCTCCCGCGCCACCTCCGAGGTGACTGTCGGGTCCCCCTGGTTGCGCTGCCTGCTCCTTCTTTGCAGGTGAGATTTCCTACCGCCAAGCTTGCGATAGCGTCCCCCATGTCTGGACAATGATGACACTTATTGCTCATCTTATAGGCGAGGAGGTGCTGGGGGACATGTGGTGGCAGCGCTCGGTGCTCAGCAGGGAGGGCAGCCTGACTCCAGCTTGTCCTAAGGGGTTTGTGTCTCTCCCCTACAGATGCACGTCGTGCTGATCAAGGGATATACGGAGTCAAAGCTACCTTGGTGTGATATTTATACAGCTCGGCCTTCATTTGACCCACAGCTTTGCTGTGCACTGAGCGCCACTGCTTTTGGCTGAGCACTGCGATGCTAAAAGAGCATCTTTTCCAAGCAGTGCAGGTCAGGCGTCTGGATAACAGCTTAGCTGCTTCCCGCCGGGGCCGTTGCTGTGGTTTCTCCATCACGCTTGGGTGAGGTTGTGTTTGATGTCTGGGGAGGCTGAGGCAGCATCACGGAAAAGATAGGAGGTATTTGTTTGTTAAAAGCCTGGATCGGGCCTGGAAAAGACCCAAAACATCCTAATTAGAGAATGCTTCTGGAAAAAAAAAAAAAAGACACAGATCCAGTGAAATTCTTAAAGGGAAAGCATGTGCTACAACCTTTAAAGAGTGTTAAACAAAGATTGCTTTAAAAAATTAGCTCTCGGATACTAAATGATCACAAAACAGGATCAGTTGGGAGTGCCTAAGGAATGTACGAAGCAGCCAGCCCTAAAAGAACATCTTTCATATCTAACACTGGCTTGATTTTTTTTCCCCATTTTCTGCACTCCAGACACCAGCCTGCTGCTTCATTTGGTTTGGATGGGGCAACGTCCAAGAACGTTTTCTTCAGCGCTCCCCAGGGCAGGCATTAATTAAAAGCAACCCCCTGGAGCGGCCTCCTTGCCGGGGAGGCCGTCCCGCCTCGGCCTC